TCGGATAACGGGGAGCTAGCCTTCTCAAGAGCCCTTTCTGCGCGCTCGAGGGGATCCTCATCGTCGTCGTCGTCGTCGCTGTCCACGACGATTTCGGCGGACTTGTACTTGGTGTTGTTGACGGATTCCTTCTTTGTGAGACGGCGCTTCTTTTTCGTGGGACGTTCCTCTCCCGATTCGTCGCCATCGGTTTCCGCCCTCTTCTTGCGAGACCCCCTCTTTGGACGACTTTCACCATCGCCTCTCGGCGCCGGCTTCTTCTTCCGCTTGACCTTCTCGCCCGTTTCCTCGTCTGTGGTCATCTCAGCCTCCTGACGAGCCTTGTCCTCTTCGGCGCGGCGCTCGGCAATCTCTCTATCCCTTGCAGCAATCTCCTCTCTTTCCCTCTTGATCTTCTCTTGCTTTTCTCGCTCCTTCTCCAGAGCCTTCTGGCGCTCCTCTTCGCGCCGGCGAAGCTCCGCTTGACGTTGTTCCAGTGCGGCTTGCAGCTTCTCCTTGTTCTTCTCCTCGTACTCTTTCTGGCTGGCGATGGCTCTCTCGAGCTGTTTGCGTTGCGTGTTGCGAGCCATGTTGGCACGCTGTTCAACGTCATGCTTGGGGTAGGGGGTCTGGGGGTGGCCAGCAATCTCGTCCAGTGCTGAGATGGCAGCCTCGAGCCCGGCGGCGGCGTCCTGAAGTTGCGCCACCGTGCGCTGGTTCTCACTCAGCGCATAAACCATTGTCGCCATCTGGATCTGCACAAACGCAACGTTGAACTTGTAGTGGACTTGATCCGGAGCAGCTTCAAGGGCCTAAATGTCACAGAATTAGCATCGTAGTCAGCAGAGCTCAGACAGGGGTAGGTTACCTTCTTGGCATATTCGAGGGACTGTCGGTAAGCATCCAGGTCGCGCTCGGAACGGCCCTTATTGAGCCAAGTGCGGCCTAGGCAAGCAAGAATGACGGGGTCGTTGGACTTGCCCTCCTTTGACAGCGCCGTCTCGTAGTTCTCGATAGCCTTGGTCCATTGCCTCAGCTCAGCGAAGATGTGGCCCAAGTTGACGTAAACATGGGCATCCTTGATGGTGTCCCTGATCTTGACGAAGATGCCAAGAGCCGTCTTGTAGTCCTTCTTGTCCTCCACCAACGCAATGGCGATACCTTGTGCTGCGTAGGCGTTCCTGGGATCCAGAGAGAGGGCCTTCTCGAAGAACTCAACCGCCTTGCTGTACGTTGCGCTTCGCTTGGCTCTGTCACTGTCCGACTCGCGGCGCATCTCTCGCGCCTGGATCAGATACAGGTTACCCATGCCGACCAGAGCGTATCGGTCGTGCTTATCATAGTTCTGCAGAGTGTGCTTGTAATGACGGAACTCGTGGTCCTCGTTGATGTTGTGTGGCCGCTTGCGCGAGTGGACTTTTCCCATGTACCAGCCATACAGAGCGCGAACCTCGAGGTCTTGCGGGTTCTCTTGGTACAGCTTCGCGACGGCATCCGGGCCTTCCTTGTTAGGGTTTTTCCTGAGCTTGATATATGCCAGTCGTGTGCGAGCGTCGGTGTAATCATCATGGCGCTTGAGCAAGCCGTCGTAGACCTCAATGGCCTCGTCGAGAAGACCACGAGACTCGTAGCTGCGGCCGAGGTTGAAGCTGATCGTAGTGACGAGAGCATCAGTGTCAATCTCTGAATCCTTCTCGCCGATCTTCATACAAGCGCCCAGGGCAGCCTCAAACATCTCACTTGCTTGCTCGTGCCTCTCCGACTGGGAGTAGAAGCAGCCGATGTTGTTGAGAAGTTGTGGCGGCAAGAACTTGCGCAGAGCAGCGCGCTTCTCAGCTTCATCTTCGATATCCTTCGGTTGCTCCTCCTCAGGAACCTGCTCGAGCTCAAGTTGCTCGACTTGGAGAAGACACTGCTGAGCCTTGTCCGGGTACTCGGTCTCATAAAGGCGAGCGAGATTGAGGAGAACCGCGGCATCGGGAGACATGCTCTTCTTGGAATCCTTCCAGGCACCGCGAACTCCTTCAAGCAGACCAATTGCCTTCTTCATCTCAGCCGATTTGTCTTCCTTGCCATCGGCGTCCTGGTTGGCAAAGACCTCTTCGGCGTACAGAGTTCCCAGCAATATCATGGCCTCGTGACTCTTGGACTGCTGAATTATCTTCTCCAAACGCAACTTTGCCTCGCCCAAATCGCCTCTCAACACGGCAAGCTGAGCAGCACCGAACTTGGCCGGCAAGTATCCACGCTCAGAACCTCCACGAGCGTCGTCGGCCCGGCGATAGAAGTCACTTGCGCGGTCCGGGTCGCCCGTGTAGTGTTCCTTTCGTGCCAGCAGGTACCAGCCGTCGCTAGCAATGGCGTTGACATCCGTGTATTGAATCGCCTTGTGCGCGAGAGAGTCGACTGTAGGCAGCTGTTTGCGGGACAGGAAGTAACCAGCGAAGGTGGCGCATGTGAGGGGCATGTTCTTGTCGAGCTTGAAGGACTTTTGAGTGTATTCGGTCATGGCCTTCTTGTAGAGACGAAGAAACTCGGGACTGTTGGTGGGAATATGGCCACTGGCGTCGAGGTAGTAGAGACCGAGAAGGATGTTGCCGACCTTGTGATCGGGGTTGATCTCAAGAGATCGCTCCCACGCTAGCTTCGCGTCATCCTTGAAGCCAAGCTGCCAGAAGCAGCATCCAATGCCGATTCTCGGATCGGGGTCGACAAAGTCCGGCATCTTCTGCAGAACATCTTGGTAGCATGCCAAAGACTCGGGGTATTTTCCAAGCGAGAAGAAAGTGCGCGCTTTTCCCATCATCGCCAACATATTCTTGCCTCCGGAAACTCGAATCGCGTCTTCGAAAGCCTTCAGTGCCGATCGCAGAAGGTCTGCCCTCTCGGAATCAACCTGGCCGTGCCCAGCCGTCTTCGGCGTCTGCAGCGATGCCTTGAGCAATTGGAGAACACCACGGGCGAGGAACAGAGGAGGGAACGCGGGGTTGATGCGCGATGCATCGTTGAGTGTCGAAGTCGCCAGCTGCAGGTAGTATTCTTTCGTCTTTGCCTCGGAGGCTAGCTCGCCATCGGGGGGCAGGCGCGGCGCCTCGCGACTCTTCCACAAGTACATCCAGCAGAGGCAAGAGATCATGCTGAGCTTCTCCTTGGGGCCGTTGTCGCGCATCGCGTTTCCACCACGGACCAGCATTTCGATGGCATGGTCGATCTTCTTCTGCTTGGCGTAGGCCAGCGAAACGGTCATCCAGTAGGTACGAGCGGCGCGCTCATTTTCGAAAAGGGTGCAAAGTTCGGTCGGGTCGTCGAATAGCTCGAGGAGATCGATTTCGACGGCCTCGTCTTCGGCTTCGCCCTGAACAGGAACGTCGATAGCAGCCGGGATGTCAGAGAACCGTTTGCTGACTGGCGCACTCGTTGTGCCATTGGCACCGTTCATCGCGCCGTTCCGGTGGGCTGACATTGTGGCGGATGAGAGGCTATGACATGCCTCGGATGGATATGGCGATGGGATGGGTTGATAAGAAAGAAGTAATTAAGGAATTCGGGGGAGCTGGGATGAGGCTGAGGAAAGGATCACTCAGTCGCGTTGGCCTTGCACAGGTGGGTCTGTAAAGACGCTAGTGGGGCTCTCCTGCATTCACAGCTGCTGCCAATGTGTGCTTTGATTGGCTGATGTCTTTGAAGTAGACAGTACTTTTAAAGACCAGACTGTCACCCTGTGCCTCAGGTACCGAGGACCTAGCCAGCTCACTTACACGCACCTACAAATACCATGTATTTGGTCGTTCTTTCCCTTCCAGCATGAACAACGAAGAAAAATATGAAGGTGAAGCTTGATTTTGATAGAATTACTAGTGAGATTTTAATCTAAGTTTGATTCACAGTCCAATTCACATGAAGACTGCGGAAAACTTTTTTCAATGGTGAAATGAATGTGTTCGAAATTGGAAGAGAGCAGTAAGGAACGACTATTACCTCCTTCCCCCTAAACATTGCTCTCGGTCGAGGTCTTGACCGTCTCTCGACTGTCTCTCCGATATACTACTTCAAGCCATAAGCAGTCTCCTCCCACTCCTCCTCATCTCAAATCAGAACGCCTCCACCCTCATCACCGATCCGACTTGAGATGTGAAGACTCCGTCATGCCAGCCATCTCTTCATCGGGGGCGAGACTCAACTCTTGGGTCCGCAGATCACATTTTGAAGATTCGAGTCGAATTTCCGCACGCCAAGCCGAGGAGCCGACCGGGCCACTGCCTCCCACATCGCCAAATTCAGACACCACCTGCTTTGGATGGGGATGTCTTACAGAGGCTCAACAGGCCGGAATTATCGTCTGTATCGCCGTGGTCTTTACTGTCTTTGCACTCTCTCTATGGTTCTTCTTCAAGTCGAAGAAAAAGAAGAAGGAATGGACTGATCAAGATTTCGTTCTCGTCCGTAAGGCACGCCGCCGTCGGCGCAGAGTTGATAGCCGGGCCAGCTCCATCGTTACTCAGCCATCGATTCCGTTCAGACATAACGGACTTTCTGTCATACAACAGCCACCCCCAATTATGATTACTCCCCCGACCTTCTTTCATATCCCTCCACCACCTCCACCGCCCGTTCCGGTTTATGTACCGACGCCGATGCCGATCCCGGCGCCGATACCTCCGCCTCAACCTATGTACCCAGTGGTCTACCAGCCATATCTAAACCACGGCGTGTCTATTCAAGGCGGCTATCAACACCCGTTCCCGCCTCAGAGAACATATGCGACTCCTGTCGCCCAAAACAGCCGTCAAGGACAACAAGTACCGCAGCCGCCTTCTCAGAACATGTGGTCAAACCAACCATGGACACATCCTCGAGGTGACTCGCGTCCACAAGAGGCGTCAAGTGGACGGCCGTCACTGGCCCGCAGGCTATTCGGAATCTTCAGCACCCCGGTAGGCAGAGCTTCAACCATTGCGAGCTCAGACTCCAACTCTCTCCATGCGGTGTCTACAAGGGACAGCCATCAATCGAGATTGTCAATGACGTCTGTCACCACTCCCCCGTCCCCCAAAACACGTCAAAAGCCCGAAGCCAGTCGCAGCATACAGAACGTTGCCTCTCCCTGCGGAGCTACTGTTGCCAGTGACGACTACGTCTTGTCCGCCGAGCGACCCGACGGCCCATCGCGCAAACCAGGAAAGAAGCAGGCCGCAACAATCAAGAAGGACTCAATCGAGTCCAAGACCTCGATGAAGGTGCACGCGACAACTGAGGAAACGAGGAATCGAAAGAAGGGAAAAGAGAAGGCAAAGCTTGACATCGAACAAGACATCCCTGCCGGTCAATGTCACCACAGAGATGAGCCTCGTCACAGCCCTCGCAAGATCAAGCCAATGAGAAGGTATGAGAAGAATCTCACGGAGACGAAGATGGCAAAGCTAATTAGAGAAAGTGCTCTCAAAACGCGGGTCATGGCCATCCCGAGATCCAAGTCAGAGACCTCTCCGCGTATGACGGGTGCTCTAGGAAACCCCAAGTCGGTGCATTGATCTTCAACCCGCTGCTATCTGCTGATAATTCGCTAGAGTTGATGACATACCTTCACGCAACCGATCTGCGACATCTTCAATGGCTGTGGAAGGCGGGCAGTCCAAAAGCCCAGATTATGAGAGCTCATTTATCAGAATTGATGGGAAGGCTGACACAACCACCAGACAGAGTGAAAATCACAAAGTCGTCAAACGCAAGAAGGAGGTCGACAGGGATGGATCACCCAAGAAAGCTCGAAAGGATCCGATGGAGGTGACGCTTCGCACAGTTGAAATGGTTGGCCGGCTCTCGACGGGTGACCTCAGTTACCCCACGCAAGGAACTCGCAACAACCAAGTCACTCCTCAGCGAGACCCTCCGAAGATCCAGGAGTACAGGCATGGTTGACTTAAGTATTAGAAGTTACTCCCAAACTTACAATTGAATGCAGTACGCCGTATCATGATGAGTCGGATAGCGCTGAGGAATTCGACATCGACTCGCCGCCGCCTTCTCCGCCAAGGCCAGTTCATCAAGGCGGCGGTCGATACGCACCGGACCAGCTTCGCCGTGTAGCATAGACAAAGTTGGCTGAAATTGCTGAAACGAACACGACGTCGTTCTGAGATGACTTGCCATGGGAAGCAAGAGACATGGCAGAAACATGTTTTTGATACGAATCCATTTTGGCATGGATTTTTAATGGTGGATGGAGTGGTCTCAGGAGTCTGAGGGTTGCTTGACAGGTCCACAGGATGCTTAGATGATGGAGTCAGGTTACGGCGGCAGATGAACCGCAGGGGTGTGTTCAACCAAGCCAATACAAACAAAGATTCCCCTTGACAGTTGCATGTGTGCATTCATAATTCAGAGATGTGCCGAGATGTGCATATTCCAGAACAAAACAGCGGCACTGCGGGTTGCTAAAGCAGGGGTAAGTCAGGTAGTTGTGTCACTCTGGCCCGTGCGCCAGTAGGACAAAGTGGTGAGGTAAGGCACATTTGGGGGCACCCATTGGCTGAGAAGGTACCTAAGGTAAGCTGGTGAGTGAGGTGAGGTGAGGTACAAACAGGTAGGTACCTGCTAAGGTACTGAGGAATGGAAGGTACCACCCAGTCCGGGTGCGTAAGGTAAGGCCAAAGCAGGCCCCGGAGGTGGCTTCGTCATTGCCTGGGTCTCCGGCCGGAATGGCACTTGCACCTGCTGCACCCTGGAGCTTACCTTAGTCCAACCACCACACGAACCTCACCACCCATCAACCTCTTTCCCCCACGGCCGACCGACCTCTTGTCCGCACTTCGACCACATCCACAGTCTGCCCTGGGACTTGGGTTCTATCACTGAGCTACTGGGATATTTTTTTCTCGACTCCGATACTCACAATCACCCGATCGCTGATTGTCGCATGCTACCGACTGCCTCCACACCCCTCCCCCGCTACACCCGGCTCAGCTGCGCATCCCCCCGGCGCGCAGCCTAACTGAGACCGCAAACCCTTTCGCACGATTGAATCACAGCCTCTAGCTTTGTTTGCTGTTGTCTTCAGTCACGGCTAGCATCATGTGGAACGACGAGGATAACAACCCCTATGGGACCAGCTTCGACAGGCGGGACAGCCTGACTTCCTCCTCGGCCAACCCGGCCTCTCCTACCTCTCGTGAGTGTATGTTGCGACCATCCCCCCAATACAACACCAGGCGACCAGCAAGATTCTCAAGATGATGGAAACCATAGATCTGGATGATTCCTCAGACAGTGCTGATGCCGACTGGGAGACTCTAGACCAGCGATTCGACATCCCTCAGACCCCGTCCACTACAAGCGACGAGGCTCCCCAGAATCGCGGCCTCGGCCACGACGAGAGCGAGGTTGAGAGCAGTGACAATGAGCCTGTTGCTAGAGACAGGGGCGATATCGTCCCTCGCCCAAAGCCCGGTGGCTATGAGAGTCGCGTCGAGCAGATTCTCTACGAGAACCCGTCGATGCCCATCCTCATTACGGATGCAGGAAAGAGCGCAGAGAGTGGTGGTAGATACATCGTCTACACCATTCGCACCGGGGTAAGTTGGTTAAATACTTGAGACTAGGGCTGTGTGCTGACAAGAAACTAGAACCTCGAGGTCCGCCGAAGATACTCAGAGTTCGCTTCGCTGCGAGAAGCGCTTACCCGTCTGCATCCCACCCTGATCATACCCCCGATTCCCGAGAAGCACACAATGGCCGACTACGCCGCGAACCCCACGAACGCGAAGCAAGACCAGCAGATTATTGACTTGCGCAAGCGCATGCTCGCTGTGTTTCTGAACCGCTGCCGGCGCATGGAGGAAGTCCGAGTCGATGGGGTGTGGTGGAGATTTCTTGACCCCAATGCCAGCTGGGTGAGTCCATGTCATCGTTGCGATGGCATTATTGTGGCTGATTTTTCTTTAGAGTGAGGTCCTGCACTCTCACCCCGTAGCCTCAGTCCCCAAGTCCGTCCTGAAGGCGCCGCCTCTGGACCCAGCGAATCCTACACCCGCCCACGCCTTCCTTCCCGTACCAGCCAGCTCCGCGAAGTTGAGAACGACGGGAGGCCCAGGTGTCGATCCCAACGCCATTGCCGGAACAGGCTCTCACGTATTTGGCCGATTCCCCCCCGACAGCCATAACCTTAGCGAACAGGAACTCGACCCGTACTTCATCACGTATGAGGCCTCGATTAAGGAACTGGAGCAACTTTTGTCTGGATCTATGGAAAAGGTCAACCGTCGGACACTCAGCCATCTGTCAGCTCTTGCTGCCGATCTCTGCGAACTGGGTTCCAAGTTCAACGCGTTTGCGCTGTCGGAACAGGCACCGTCATTGGGACCTGCGCTTGAGAGGGTGGGACAGGCCGCCGACTCGTCATACATTGCAACGGAAGAACTGTCCGGATCGCTCGGTGCAAGCTTTGCGGAGCCTATGCGCGAGAATGCGCAATTTGCGGGCGTTGTCCGCAGCGTACTCAAGTACAGAGTTCTGAAGCGCGTGCAGCAAGAGCAGACGAGCGATGAACTCAACAAGAAGATTGCGCTGCTTGATCAGCTGGAGCGGAGCGAGCAAGAAGCCAAACGCATTGAGCAGTACTTGAGTAGCAGTCAACAGATTACACCCCCGCCGAAGCGATCAACGAGCCTTAGAGAGGCGGGAACGTCGAACCACCAACGTGAGGGTAGCGCCGAAGATACGGCATCCATCGACTCCGACTTTCCTCCCACCCACGGTGAGCCGGCGCCATCAGCAAGCCAGGGAGTACCGCAGAGAAGCAACTCAACGCCAGGTCATAAGAAGGCCGCGAGCAGCAACTCTATCACGAATAAGATTTTCGGACCGATTCGCCATGCGATTCAAGGAGTGGCAGACGTCGACCCTGAGAGGACGCGCCGCGACATGATCGGAAAGACCAGAGAGAGCATCGAGCAGCTGGAGCAGGCCAAGGTGGTATCTGAACATGACGTCAAGGAGGCCAGCGCCAGCATCTTGAAGGATCTCAAAAGATTCCAGGGAGAGAAGGAAGAGGATTTGCGCCGCTACATGGTAAGTTTTCCGGTATCTATGATATTACCGTAGCTAACACGACAACAGCTGGCGTATGCCAAGAGCCAGATCGAATGGGCAAAGAAGAACAAGGAGACTTGGGAGGATGCCAAGGCCGAGGTCAGCAAGATTGACGAGAGCTAGGTGTGAGTTGAGGTAACGGGACATGAATTTGCGCGTGGATATCAGAACAGCCCCAGCTCAAAGCTGCCGGCTTGTTCCTATAATTTGACGAGGCGTTGATTCTGCAGGCTTGGTTGAGGTTCGCTCGTCAGTTGGCGAAACGACGAAGGTCATTTGGCGTTTACGAGGGCTTGCCGTTCGTAAAAGCCATTGAATAGTCCATGAAATAATCAGATTAGTTCAGCTTGCTGTTCCAGACTGAGTGCATCTTGTGACTGTGACACCTTGAAAGAAAGTAGTTGAGCCATTTCGTAAACACTAAAAATGGCTTGGCGCAGCTTGGCATATCCTCATAACGTAGGCAGGTTCGGGCTGTCGCGAGTTCCAGGCTCCAGCACACCTTAGGTACCCTACCTACCTAGGTACGGCACAGCTCCCTGAGGTATCGCTTATCGATAAGAAACCGATAAAGCTCCGAGACTTTTCGTCGTCGCGAGGCTAGGCCGGACCTGTTTGTACTTTCTCCTTTGCGCAACACAACACACAAGATGGACGGCGTACAGCCGCCCCCAGAGGGCCCAATCGCCTCAATCGCAGAACCCGGCATCAAGGCCGAGGGGCAGCTGCTCTTCGATCTGCGCCGGGAGGTTGCAAATCTCCTGCATCGCAATCAAACGAGCTTCCCCGGCGCACAGCCCGTCAGCTTCGCGCGCAAGCACATGGACGAGCTCCGGAACAAAGAGTGAGTGCACCTTTTCCCCGCCCGCGCCCATCCCTCTCGCCTGACGTAGAGGTGTCGGACAACACCAAGAAGATGAGAAAACGCGCGAGTAGATTTGCTGACTCAACGCGACGAATAGTTACTACGTCTGCGAGAAGTCGGACGGCATCCGGTACCTGCTGTACCTGACCGAGGACGAGAGCGGCCGCGAGATTCACTACCTCATCGACCGCAAAAATGACTATTGGTTCATCAAGAACAGCAGCTTCCACTTCCCGCGCAAAGATGACGTGGGCAAGCACCACACGCGCACTATCGTCGACGGCGAGCTGGTCATGGACGACGTTGGCGGCGGTCAAAAGGCTCCTCGCTTCCTCGTCTTCGATTGCCTGGTTCTCGACGGCCAGGACCTCATGTCGCGCACCCTCGATAAGCGCCTGGCGTACTTCCAGGAAAACATCTACAAGCCTTATCGCGATTTGTTCAAACAGTACCCGGAGGAGAAGGACTTCCAGCCGTTCCTCGTAGAGATGAAGTCGATGCAGCTCTCGTACGGCATAGAAATGATGTTTCGCGAAATCCTGCCGAAGCTGCGACACGGCAACGACGGCCTCATCTTCACGTGCGTATCATCCGACTACAAGCACGGCACCGACCCGCACATCCTCAAGTGGAAGCCGCCTGAAGAGAACACGGTGGATTGCCGGCTACGCTTGAACTTTCCGACGGTCCACCCGGACGAGAACTTTGACGACTTCACGGAGCCGTACATTGACTACGAAAGTGTGCCGCGTTCAGAGCTGTGGAGCTTCATGGGCGACGGACAGTACCAGTTCTTCTCGGAGGTGCACATCACCGAGGACGAGTGGGAGACGCTCAAGTCCCTTGGGGATCCGCTGAACAACCGCATCGTCGAGTGCCACAAGGACGACAAGAACCGGTGGAGGATCATTCGCTTCCGCGATGATAAGGCCGAAGCCAATCACATTTCCACGATCAAGAGCGTGATGGAGAGTATCGAGGACCGCGTCACGGAGAAGGACCTAGCTGAGGCGGCCAAGGGAATCAAAGACTGCTGGAAAACGAGGAAGAGATGAGCGACCCGCTAATCGCGTGTTCAAAAACATCCCGTGGCGACTCCCGGAGTGAGGTTGTCCGGAGGCTTCGCGAGGTCTGGGGCGGCAGGGTTTGTATGTGTGTATGTGTGTGTGAGTACGGGCGACAGAGGCGTCTTGGTGTTTACGCCGGCAGCGGAGAAAAGAGTGGGTGATGGCGGTCTGAAACGGAGAAGAGAGCTCGCAAGACTTCTTCTTCTTTTGCAAACATCATATCGCGTCTTGGTCTCAACAATTTTTTGGGGGTGCCGGGCTTCGATAGGCGCACGATAGCAGTTATTTCGGCGTTTGCAGCTCAGGATATCAGGCATGGGTCGGACTCAAGGGGATTCGTTCATCAATTTTGGGGTATGGCCCGCCAGGGTCGTCATTGTTACTATTATACAAGTCGAGCGAAGAAGAAAACAAAATAACCACATTTAATAACGCAGCTTGGAGAAGAAAATGATGCATCGCGGTTGTTGACGAGTATGTTCCATATTCACAAGCCAAACTGTGACGGGAGGAAGCCAAGGGGTTGTCTGTCTCGCAGCGCAGCGCCCCCTTCACCTTGACTCAGCAAGGTCTTGGCTATCATTTCTCGCCAGAACATTAAAGGGCACGTTTTGGCAACTTTCGGATGAGCAAGGGAGGAAAAAGAGTATTCGTAAAGCACTAGCAATTAGCTCAGCTGGGATCCAAGGTACTGTGAGATACGCATGGTCGAGCTGTACAGAATGCATGTGAACGAAGCCCCGCGTCACTGCTGATTCCCTCAGGAGCTTCCCAACAAACTCAGGGCAGGTAATAGCCAGCAACCCGCTGCTGGCTGGCTTTCCCGCCTTACCTACATAGGCGCCCCTGGCAGTAGCAGCACGCAGCACCCCGCCATTGCAGCCAGCCAGCCCAGGCAGGCAGGGACCGATCCAGGCACGGGCTTCCGCAAACCTCGAAGACGTCACAAACCTAAAGTTTCCCAATCTTACCTTAGCAGCGACGACGAACCACCCGGCCGGCGGCGAAGGGAGGAACACTGGGAGTTCCGATAGAGCTAATCTTGAACCTCAATTGCCCTGTCCCATTACTATTCTCCTTGCCATGACCCTCCTCAGCGCGTCCAACTTACACATCCGTCCATGATAGACTCAATTGGCCCTCCAACAACCTAGTAACACCAAGTTTCCCCCATCCGCCCACCATGATTCTCGGCCCCGTGTCGCTGCTCGATTGCCTGGTCTTTGTTATATTCCTGACGCCGCAGCTTTTGCTCAATGTCGGCTTCTTCCCCACGGCGGTGGTGGCCATCAAGGCGTTGCCCTTCCTGCTGTTTGAGCTGCCCAGCTCGCTGTTCCGCGAACGGTTCCTGCTGAGCCCGGACGAGAGGTCGCCGTTCGTGCAGCGGGCGAGCTTCTTCGAGGACCTCGTCATCCGCTGCGTGCGCTACGCCTTTGCGAACCTGCCCACCAACATTGGCCGCGTCTTCTTCTCAAAGTACATCTCATTGCCGTTCCTACGGTTCCGCATGCTGCGGCATGGGTATATCAGATCACCCGTCAGCTGGCGGGAGTACAAACAACATGTAAGTCTAGTTTGCTCCATTTTCTTCACGTGTGAGATGCGGTGGCTTAGTTCTCGACGGCAGGGTCGCCATGGATTCCAGGGCGTCTGGATCAACAAGGACGCTACCAAACCACCCGATGTTGTCGTCTACTATGCACATGGCGGCGGATTTGCCATGGGCTCTGCCTACTTCTACCTCGAATTCCTCCTGTCGTGGCACGCGCTGCTGGTTCAGCAAGGCTACCAGAACCCAGCCATCTTCGCGCTCGAGTACACGCTCGTTCCCGATGAGAAGTACCCGACGCAGGTGTACGAGACCTTGAGGGGATACAAGCATGTGCTCTCCATTGCGGGAGACCCGAAGAAAGTGGTCATCGCAGGGGACTCGGCAGGAGGGACTCTGATGTTGACGCTGCTGCTGGAGCTGGGCCACATGAATGAAGCAAGAGCATTCAAGGAGAAAGGGGACGACTCTGCACCATCGGAGGGCGAAAGCCAGCAGTCGCTGCGGCGAGCTTCTGAATCGCCGCTCCCAGGACTCTGCGTGTTAATTTCGCCATGGGCACGACTGATATCAACCAAACACGAAAACTCGGCTAGCGATTACCTTGACCGCGACACGCTGTGGAAATACGCGACACAGTACGCCGGACACACGCATGCCTACGACCAAACGGCGTCTCCAGGGCAGTGTGGCGATCATCGGGTGTGGGCGGAAGCTAGCCCGCCATGCGGCTTCTTCATCACATACGGATCCGAGGAAGTGTTTGCGCCGGATATCAAGGACCTGATCAACACATTGGTGAAGAGTACCGAGGTAGACAGCCGCAGCGAGGACGGCGGGATCCACGCCTGGCCCGTAGTATCGCTGTTCTTGTCAAGCACAGAGGACAAGAGGCTCAAGGGTCTGCGGACACTAACGTCAGCCATACGGAAGCACATTCAGTAAGCCGTCTGCCAAGGGGGCGGATGCCGGTCGGGGTCAGATTAGATCAAGTAAAAAACTGTCATGGACCGAGGCGCACAACCTCGAAACCAGAGCTGGAGGACTCGGCTTCTGCAGTCGTGTCCTATTGTTGGTCTCCAGCTATTTCTCTATCTTTATCATCATTCGTGACGACCAATAGAAGGTAGGCGCTGGGGCGGGTGCGCAAACAATAGAATTGATTTCGTGGTTTGATTACCTGCATGATTGGAGTGCGTTCCTGCATACCGGGCCGTTGGCCAAGTGGGAGATTGCAGCGGTAGTGGCGGGATTTCTGCCGAGGGATCGCGAGCAAACATGTCAGTATTTGCAGAGACGCGTTGAGAGATGCAGATGAGTTCTTGCACACGGGTCCAGCCCCCGGGCGGAGACAAGTGCGACTCGCGACGGGAGGGTCGTCGCAAAGCTCAGACGGGTAGGTGGTAAAGGTAAGGAGCTATTGTGGGTCTCAGCGTGAGGTCATGGATGGCCTAGACAGTCAGCGACTCGATGAAGGCGACGTTTTGCGACGGGCAAGGCCATTTGACTTGGGACGATGGGGGCCCTTGATGACGGTGTGCGGCGAAAAGGGTCGAAGGAGCCCAAGGTGCAGGGAGGGTGCCAGCTCCAGGCAGCATTGAAGAGGACGGCGCGGGGTTTGACGATGTGTCTCATCGATATAAAGCGAGTGAAGGCTGATGCCGGTGCGAAGCCGCGAGGTCAGACTCGTTTGTACATGACATCTCGACGTGCGATATTTGAGCTGTCCCTCTAGAGCCTACTGAGGCCGCGTGTGTGAGTGCGCGAATATTGGCTGGAAAGCAGGCAACGAGAGGCGTGAGCTGAGTTGTCATTGACGGTCAGCCAGCCAGGCTACCTCAGTGAGCCGACGCTTCTTTCAGCCTGCTTGAGGTTACTTCGGGTGCGCCGCAAGGTACAAGTGCATCCGCGAAGCTGCAATATGCAGACTGGGCCAACAGTGGGGAGGGCGAGACGCTCGCGCCGTTAACGAACCGGCAATGTGACGGATGAGGTTTGTACTGTAAAATGGGCGAGGTTTGTGGCACGAACGACAAGAAAAAAAAAGAAGACGGAAAGGTGGTGGCGAGGCATGGACAAATATCGCGGTCGAAAAAAAAAAAAAGAGAGAGACGAGGATTTGGTGGCAGATGACAGTTTGGAGCTAAGACGGCAAGCTTGAGTACCTAAGGGCGGTACTGGAGAAGCTAGCCATCGAGGTAGGTACTTGAGCGTGAAGTATTGGTGGTGGTAGAGGCAGTGTTGGTACTGGAGTGGGAAACGGTAAAGCGCGGGAGACACTAAGAGGTCGAGGATCCTGGTCCAATCAGGATAACAGCGTGGCCCCTGCAACTGGGGGTGATTTTTTGGAGAAGGCAGAGGGGAGCAAAGGGGAGCTGTGACCCGCGACGCGCATATAAACGGTGGGCATTCCCACTGCGAATCCATCGCCTTATGAAAGGAGCCCGCTTCTGCCCACCGCGAGGTCCATGTCCACAGTCCAGCTGCCTTACACCACCCGCACCGCCTGCCAAAAGCCCACCCACCCGCTGGCCACACCTGCCATCATCACGGGGCCGTCGTAACCTTGACCTTCCGCCTCCGTCCAACCAACCGTCGCAAACACCGGACACCAGCCAGCGCAGAGCAGCTGCAACTGCACCTGCACCTGCTGCCACTTTGCCTGGCAACTGCCTCCTGCCGCCTGCCGCTCGTGCCTGCCAGCCAGTCCGCCAGAGGTAGGCAAGCAAGCAAGCAAGCAAGACATCACGCCGCGCCTCCGTTGGCCTCACTGGCCCATCTTGACGACATAACACGCCCATTCACACGTTTCATCACCCCTTTTCCTTCTTGTCTCTCTTGCGGCCGCCAACAACACCTCATTGGATCACGGCCGAACATACCGCTGCCCCGCACCTCACGCCTGACCGCACCACGACCTGCGCGCCCACCGCCTCCTTCCCAGCACCCCCGAACCCAGTGCAGTTGCATCCTGGTTCGCCTCTCACACCGAAACCTTATCGTACCGAAGCTGCCATATCGCCAAAGTCTTTCCTGACTCAGCGCTCGGGCCCAATCGCGACTTCTCCATTTCATCGACGAGCTCTGTCTGTGTATCGTTGCACAAACAGACCTCTTGTCTCACGGCCACGCCCTCTTCAGCCACGACGTCCCGTCGCTTCGAGCTTCTGGTACTGTCTGCATCCATCAGCCCTACCACAAACACGTTGTTGCCTGCTTCGAGGCCCGGAGACGTCTTTCCACGCTGCAGGTTGCCCCTCTCAATTTGAGGACTGAGACTTGAGTCGCGAGAAGGCTCCTTCCGCCTGCTTGTCTGCCCTGGTCGTAACAGCGACCTGGCGCTCTTGTCGTGTGTCTGTATATCAGAGAATGTGGGAGCTTATCGGCCTTCTCAGACGTGCCTTGCTCTTCTCTGTCTCGTCGTGACTTGCTTGTGTAC